TCTGTTGATCTCGTCAGATGTGCCTTCTCTGTAAAGAAGCAACGAGCAACGAGCCTAAATATCAAAGGGCGGAACGACGGAAAGCGTTCAATATAATGCGCAATATACCTCCATCCAGTTGGCAGAGAGTCGAAGAAAGTCGTTGGGGACAGAGCATTGCCACACCTCCCAAGAATAACGTGCTCTCTCCTATGCTCTAACATCTTGATCACGAAGCTGCAGAACTGGAGTGTGAGCCTGATGTGAAGGTCACAAATATCTCGCATAAACACGTTCAGTCGCTCTAGTATTTTACTGAGCGGAAAGCGCCGCAAACAGCTTTCTACGAAGCAAGCAGCACTGGAAACGTTCATTGATTCTTCTCTCCTTACGGTCAGTGAAGTAGTGAATGATTCGGGGGTCCCCCCGAGCGTGTACAGAGGCGGGAAAGGTGTTTGCGATGAGGGAAGAACGCCAGTTGGGGAAAAGGAGGAGGAACGCCATTGACGGAAAGCGACAAGAAAATCGTATATCGTCGAGGCGGCGTTTTCCGCCTCTGTTTGGGAAAAATCATCTCGCCGCAGGCGCATCACTGCTAAACCAGTTAACTAGCTTCGTACATCGAGGGGGAGAAGATTGTACTGCAGCCTGATAGATAGCGCGCCACACTCCAAAGGTGGCACCAATAGGTATTCTCGTGCTGCTTGGCGGATGGACTGGCAGTTGCGAATGCGAAAGGGTCGAGGAAGAATTGATGATTGTTCTCGCTGTGCTTTGCGATTTCCCAACCTTCTGCATCTGATCTGTTGAACAATTACAATTAAATCTTCCTAGCGTGGGCGAGAGGGAGAAGAACTAAGTACAACGCAGGCACTTCGTTAAAGTAGGCGTGGAACTTGACGTCGTACACCTTGTTCGTTCCATTGGGATCATGATACACCGAGATCAGGAGAATAGGCACCTACAAATAACAACTCAAAGTACTTCCCCAGTAGCTTTTTCTTTCCTTCCAAATCAGCCGCGCGGAATAGCCCCAGAAAACACCTCCAAATGATCTTCATAAGCTCGAGCATCTCTCTCGTGGGCTGCAAATTGCTGAGTAGATACATGATGAGGGATGCGTACTCCAGTGACTCGGGCGTTACCTGTCGCAAAGGCGAGGAAGGATGTAGAACCTTTTCGAGGCAGTTCATGACGAGAGAAAGGTGTGCATAGGAACGCGCGTGACCTTGAGGACGAAGGTCAAGAAGATCGTCTGCGAGCGTTTGCGGTGGGATTGTAGGAGTGAATGAGGAGCCGAGTATAGCCTACAGACAAGTCAGAACTACGGGCAATGAAGATGATCACTTTTTGTAGGAGTAAACGAAGACTGACAGAATGGTTCGTCTTCTCTGCTCCAACTGCAAGCCTCAAAGCAACATACAGTTCAGCGTACTTGTTCATCTCTTCCTGCCCAGTCTTCATCTCATGGTAGTTGCTCCAAGACACAGGGAGTTCTTCTGAGTTAACCGAAACACGTAAACGGATCTCGCTTGCTGACACTATGCTCTGGCAGTAAGCATAAATTATTGATGTACATGACAGGGAAAAGCGTACAAAGCATGAGATGATCTCCTAATGAACAGGCAAGCTGAATATTTGCCAATCTAGCATCTGGAGAGCTTGAACCAACGCGGAAGATCTCTAGGAGAGGTTTGATTGCTCTAAGGTGGCTTTCATCCGCAAGCTCTATCTCTTGAGGCTCTTCCTTTTTGGCTCTCTTTCCCTTCAAAGAAGCATGAGAGGCATGTCCTTGCCGCGTCTTCGATACCCTCTCTCTCGGTCGCGACTTCGGTTTGTTACCATCGTTTGAGCTTGGAGTTGTCAAGTCATTGAGCCTACGTCGTCGTCTTATTTTGGAAATATCAGCCTCGAGCTGTCTTGAAGAGGAGTATCCACCACTATTGAGTTCGCCCAGCTCCCATCTTTTCCCAATGATATTTCAGCTTCTACTGCTCGACGGTTGCAGGGGAAAGACGAGACGAACCGCTTGTCCTTGAGGACGATTCTGGGATTGCGTTTCTTCTTTGGGGGAACAGGATCGGAGGACATTACAGGATAGGATAGGGAGACACTTCACACGTAGATTTGGGTATCGGTCCTTGACAGAGCGTCAGCTTCACCATTTTCAAGTGCAGAGTTGAAGAGTTGACGTTTGCTGCGATCACGGACCCGAAGTCACAAGAAAGATCTAGGACAATTTCAAACGGGTCAAAGTTTATCTCATTTGCCAATGTTACTCATTTAATAGTCCCTGGTCCAACGACGAAAGCAGTCGATCCAGTCTCATGGCATTTCGTCTGTCACAGTTTCTCACAACTCCACTTGCACGCGGAGGTCTTACACATCTGTCAATGTCGAAGTTGGGTAACGCGACTGGGACCCAGAGGGCAATGATGGCAGCCCGACATTTGTCCAACGGTGCTGCCCCGTCTGAACAGGTGCGTTTTGATTGATGGTCGTGAGGGTTTTGTTATGATTTGTTGTGTGGATTGTATCTCATGCCAAGAGGTGGCATGGGCTTCGTTGTTAACCCCATCACCCCAATTGAACGGAGAGAGTTGAGCTGCCAAAGTATTGCTCTTAACAGAAAGCCCAACATCTCAATAGACGAGTTCCAAAGTTTTCTTTCTGCTGGAGCCATAGCGGCACTTCCTAGGATGATGGTATGCCGACTGTTACCTGGTTGTCAAAATTCTGGCTAAACTACCAGAGCGATAGCGGTAGAACTGCATCGAAACTTTTGAAAAAATGACTTGATGAAGGGCCAACGTTGCACGGATATGCCGGTATGTGCCTGGAAACCCTCTTCATGACCATGTTGTCTATTCAGGACACAAGAACAAGTTTGATGCTTAAATTAACGCTCTACGCAGAGATTTCATATATTCTACTGAATCCCATAGCTGGATATGCTCTAACAAGCCTACGACAATAAGAGCGGCTGCCTTTACACTGCACATTCACCTTAGACCCTATGTTCACTTTGGATGGTCAGTGCTTGTTTCATGCTGTCATTCTTCTAGCCATCGCTGATCCTTCTACCTCTGTCGATTGGGTTTTGTCGCAAAACGGCGGCTCTGCTGCACTATTGTACCTTCCAGTGATATAAAATAATGAACAACATTGCTGATGGGAGTCCTGACAGCATGTTACCACGAGCAGCCTTTCCACCTCCCTTCCCAGCGTAACTTTAACCCGACCCTCCGCTCTGAATTCGCTAACGCACGATATGTGTGTCTCGCTCTCCAGCGCCTTCAACTCTTACGCCACCTCTTCCGCTGTCCGCGCAGTCGTCTTACGAGGTGAAGGCCGCGCCTTCTGTGCTGGAGGAGATGTCGTCTCCTTATCCAAAGCGTTACAGAAGGATCCGCCGGATGAAGGGCTTTGTTATGATTTCTTCAAGACAGAATATGAAGCCGACATCCTTTTGGCCAAATTTGAGAAGCCTATAGTGGCGTTGTGGGATGGGATTGTCAGTACGTTACCTCTTCCGTTTGCGATGAAGACAGTGAGTTGACGCTTTTTTGTTGCGATAGTGGGTGGTGGAGTTGGTATCAGTATCCATGCACCTTTTCGGATCGCTACTGAAAAAACGCTCTTCGCCATGCCTGAAGTGCGTGTTTAAGTCTAATAATTCATCATGATCTTGACAATACTCTGCAAAAGACGACGATCGGCCTATTTCCCGATGTCGGGGCCTCTTTCTTCCTCTCGCGGATGGATGGTGGATTGGGTCTTTACCTAGGTCTCACCTCTGCCCGGTTAGCAGGATATGCTGCATAGTTCGTCATCCCATTGTCTACACTAAGAAGGTCATCTGATACAAGGCTATGAACAGTCAAGCTGGTGTCGCAAGCCACTTCGTCCCCTCCTCTCAGATCCCAGCACTAGTCGACCGCTTGGCGGCAATCAAAGATTCAGATTGGCCAACGGAGCAGAAAGAGGCTCTCCTCTTCATCGATTCAATCGTCCGACCTTTCGAATCCGCAGGTGCAGAGCCAGCACCGTTTGAGTTTGTTGGCGCGAAGCGGGAAGCCATCGACCGCATTTTTTCTGTCAAGAAGAAAGATCGGACTCTCGCACATATACTTGAGGACCTTGGGAAAGTGGAAGGAGAGCTCAAGCCCTGGGCGGAAGAAACCAAGAAAACAATTGAGAGTAGATCCCCCACTAGTTGTCAGGTAACTGTGGAGCAATACCGGAGGGCAAAGAATATGGATATTGATCAGGTTTTTGGTATGGATTGGAGCCTAGCTTGTGCTTGTTGCGTGAGTCTGATCCCTCCACCTCGTGTCTGGCTAAAGACTATAACTGGACGACTATTGCAGACACCAAACTTGCACACCGATTTCAGGGACGGAGTCGCTTCCTTGCTTATCCAAAAATCAAAAACGCCGCCAAAATGGCAATCTCCCTCACCCGATCTTGACGCATATTTCTCATTCTCGACTCCCTCCTCTCTCTCATCTCCCCCTTCGAAACCATTTAAATCTTATCCACATGCCGAACTGCCCCTTTCCCTTCCCTCCGAAGACTATATTGCCAAAGTCGTCCGGGGAGAGACGAAGACCAGCGGCTCATATGCACTGACGGAAGAAGAGATTATACAAAAGTTAGTAAAAGAGTGGAAGCAAAAGGAGGGAGTAGAGGAAAAGGTGAGGGAGGTATTAAGCAGGAAGACGAAAGAAGGAGAAGAGAAGACAAGAAAGTGGGTTCATTGAGGAGCCCATGCAATGCATACTGTGCAAATTGATGTTTCTCTTTCTTCTCCAAAACAAAAAGAGTACCTGACCGCGTCCCTTATCGCTTGTAGCAGGAAAAGTAGCGGGAAAAGTTGGCCAAATGTTAATCATCAATATGTCAAAAATCCGACTGCATTGCTGGAAGAGCGTTATATTTGAAGGAGGAAGAACAGAACAAGGTGACACATAAAAGACGGAGAAAACGGAGAAAGGAGTGACATCCAAGGTGGAAAAAAGCGTTCAGAGAGAGGATTGAACTCTCGACCTCACGATTGCTTGATGATAACAGTCGTGCGCTCTAACCAGCTGAGCTATCCAAACTCACATGTTGAAAAGGTCTTGTAGGCCATTTATGTACACAAACGCTGTCGGGAAAGTTGTTTTCCTCAGTTACTTAGCTTTTTGGCATCAGTCATAAGAAGTATTTTTGAGCCCTCCCTCACCACTCACCATGAAAGCTATACCAATATAACTCATACACTTGCCTCTGAGGAAATCTGATGTGGATGTGAACATTTCGTATTACACCCAAACCCTCAGGGCTTCAATGGGAGTGCCCCTTGCAACTGGTGTCGGGCGAGAGAGCCAACGACTGCTGAAAACACCTGCCTCCCAAAGCCACAGAGCTTGGTACTAATGTTAATGCTGCATCGCCTTACAATAATGGGAGATCACAGTGATAATCGTAGTGTTAAGAGAACAAACGGTCGTGACAATGGAAGATCCTCAACCCCCTCTTCCGCCATCTCCAGTTCCTTGAATCTCCGGAAATTTGGACGGCCAAGGGCTTCCGCCATATTCCAATGCCTGCGGATGGTTTTGGAGATCCGTCTGTGCCATGGTAGGATGTGAAGAAGGATGCCATCCTCTAGCGACTCCGCTTTGGAACGCTTCTGCGGTAGGGGTTATCGAGCGTAGTTGATGCGCGTTCATAATCTCCTTCACCTCTTCTCCCCCGTGTTCATAATCTCCGTAAGGTCCGGATATTGGACGGTCAGACGAGGGACTGCTAGTGTTCTCTTTCGTCGTGGCAGAAAGTGGAGGAGGGCTGAACGGGGACGGAGTGTTGCCAGTATCACTAGTACGGCTGTGCAGGAGTGCCTGGGGTTTAGAAAATGGCAGTCTGCGGAAGTGGCGGCGGTAACGGTAAAGGAAGAAGGTGATCACGACGAGCAGCACGCCCGCAACAGCCCCTCCAATCGCTGCGCCAATTGCATTATTCTTCTTCTTACCCGAGGAAGTCGTCGGTGGATTGTAGGGGATTGTTAGACTGTTTAAGCATTAGAAAGGCAAATCAAGAAAGTAACCGACGCACACGAAAACATCTACATCCAAACCCGTCCCATCCGCCAAATTCCTCACCGTCATGTTATATCCCCCTACCCTTTCAGGATCCAGATCTGTAAACGAGCACAAGAAGACGGGATAATCCGCGGTGGGAGAGTATCCATTAAACAAAACATCCGGTCGACCGTCGCTCAAGGAGCAGCTACCCTGCCCATGGTTCAAGTAGTTGTAGCCGGTGTAATAAACTGCCTGTGTTTTGATCAGATAGGATCCCCGGATGCGGAGAGATGCAAGGGCAAACCGTTGCGCCACTGAAGTTAAGTGTCGCACTCCCTACACCAAATGTAAAATGATCTGTTCTGAGGAAGGAGTCGATGTTGGTATAGGAAACCCATGTCTTGGAACCATCAGCAAACCATATCAGCTAGGAAGCCATGAAGCAATGAAGCAACAAAGAAACAACTGACACCGTCATATGTTATGCTGTCCACATCTTGATCATCCACTGTGACGTTCTTATACACCCTCGAGCTTTCACTTCCTTGCAGCGCAGCCTGACCTCCGTCGTCGAATTCTACAATGAAATAATCGACATTCATGGACGCTCCTGCCGTATTCGTGAGGAGAAGAGAATGGGTAGCGTCCTCCAAACCGTGAAATGAGCAAAATGGCGCGTTCGTGGAAGCGGGACCTTGACCAGACAGTTGCACTACTTCCCCACCGTCCAAAGTGCAGGTAAAGGTGGAGTGGTCTACATTTTGGAGACCGTAATAAGTAATAGCCTATTGAATGAGTTCAGTACTCTCGTCGGAAGAGGACAGGGAGGTGCGAACTGTTCCATTGAAAGTGACTGTTGCAGTCGAGCCCGCCGTAGAGCTGTAATGTGTCGTTTTATTCCAAAAACCTGTGGTGCCTTGGTTGACGAATGCCCAGTTCTTTCCGACCGTAAGTGATTACGCTCGCTCCGAAGGCATGAGAACTGACGTACCCCATCCGAGTATACTATGGCATCGCTGGTGTCATCAATAACTTCGTATCTGCGAATGCTGTGGGCAGTTCTAACAAGCAAGAGAGTGAGCGAGAGCGAGAGACGGGCCATCCGTTCCATTTCTTCCTTGGGTAAGCTGGCGACACCGCTGGCAAGTGGTTAACCAGAGCAGACAGAGTTCCCAGAACCATGCCTTTTGGAATACTTTGAGTACATATGCGGAGAAGCTAGGATCTGTGTTGAACCTGGTTCATTGGAATAGAGTGCCCCATTCGTGCCCCGTTCAAACATGTAATTTGAACCAACCAAATCCAAGAAACCCAGAATGTTGGCCCGAACTGTCCTACGGTGGCGCCAGTCTGGCACCAATCTGAAGGAGGTCAAATACGATCAGAAATAAGGGAAGTACCGCATGCTCCGCCTCCTTGTTGTACGAAATAGTCCTTAGAGATCATCGAATATCGAATGCGAGGGCAGCCCTTTTGCAGTACTATGCAGTCTGTCAAAGGGACATGCCACAGAGATGCATCGGAATGGAATGAAACGAAAGGGCATTGCATGGAGAGTAAGGATGACAGACAAGTTCCACTACAACATAGCCGCATGGCAGTGGTCTGATTCTGTCTGCTGGAGAGGAGTCAGAATCGGTGCATATCGAAAAGAAGCAGATTGCACTTGTTCTCTCTACGCCTGCCTTCGCCGTAGGCAACTCTGACGTAGAGAGGAGAGGAACATCAAGTGTCAATTCTTTTCGTCCCGAATACTCGAAGAGGACAATAAAGCTTAGATTGGGTGTAAACAAACATTCCAGTCACGATACTATTGAGGTTGAAGAAGCACGACATGGACGTCGACCACAGTTCGACCTCCTCGCGGCAACGGCGCATCACGATATACGATATGGAGGGTGATGTCCAGATACACGCTGCACATACAACAGTTCGTCTCGCTCGCAGTATGGAGTTCTATCCTTCCGAAACTTCTCACGTTTGCGTTTGCGGATCACTCAAGAAGCAAAGAACGCACCTGTCTCATCGTTCCAAAATTATCTCATTCCTTGGGTAAGTCATATTTACATCCCTGTCCTGTTGATACCTTACGTGCTCGTGCCGTGTCCCTGCCTCAGCCTGCCTTGAGTCTAAGACGTTCAGACTCGTTCTTCTTGTGCTTTCCCCCTCCTCCACGCGGGTGTGGGGTTTGACCGGGACGATGATAAAAGCAAATAGAAATCGATGATCGAGCACAACACCTCCAGCACACACCTTCCCGATCATCAAAGTTGCATCAACTTCTGAAGCGAGCCTTCATCGAAACTGTTCAACATGTCATTCGCACAAGAAGTTGGGTTGAACTCCCTCAGCCCCAAATACATTGAAATCTTGGGACCTAAATACGTCGAGTTGTACAATCAGAACATTGGTTTGTGTCCCTTTCGCTTGCTAATATCAGCAAATAACACTACCCCTTAATTTACGCGATTTGGAATGGATGCAGTGGGGAAGTTTCTCGCTCACCAGGTCTCGATGAAAGAGAACAGACAAAATCCAGTCATTGCAGGCTTGGGAGGAGAACCGGGGCCTGCGATTGGGAGGATTTGGGATACGAAGATCCCTGTTAAGGAACCGGAGGGGGAGATAACTCTGAGGGTTTATGAGCCGAAAGAGCTAGGAGAAAAGGAGGAGAAACCGGTGTATATCAACTTTCACGGCGGAGGATGGTGTATTGGAGGCATCGGCGACGATGAACGTAAGCTTGCTTATCCTCTGGTTGCTCAAGTGCTGATTTTGCTTGGAAAGCGTTCATCAGACATGTCGTAGACAGGTTAGGTGTGATAGTAATTGATGTTGGCTACCGACTCGCGCCAGAGTTTCGCTTCCCCGTCCCACTCGAAGGTGAGCCTGCCCCGCTTCCTTTCCTAAATTTGTTGTTACTTATCCTGCCTATCCTAGACTGCTGGACAGCTTTCGAATACATTCGTACCCACGCCTCCCAATTCCGCATCAACCCCTCCCAGATTGCCGTTGGCGGTTTCTCAGCTGGAGGACATATCTCTGCCATCCTCTCACACCGAGCTAGAGACAAGGGCATCCAGGCGATTGTTTTTGCGCTGATTGTAATCCCTGTGACTGATGCAAATGCCCTCGATGAGGAGCTATTTATCCGCCGCGGTACGAGACCTCTTCACTAGTGCGTGAGCATGAGCATGGCTGATGGGTGAACGGATGGGACAGATTCTCCGTACAAGAGTTGGACAGAGCACCACGATGGTCCCTTCCTTTCTTACCACCGCATGTCGTATTTTTACCGATACTTCCTTCCTGCTTCCGGCATCACTTCTTCATTCCTAGCGTCACCCCTCCTCTCCCCAATCCATCAAACCAACTTCAAATCCCTTCCTCCCACACTAGTCGCTGTCGCAGAAGTTGATGTTCTTCGAGACGAAGGATTAGCATATGCGAGAAAGATGCGAGAGGAAGGTGATGGTTGGGTCCAATGCTGGCTTGCGCGAAACGTTCCACATCCCTTCCCACATCAGTATAAGGCAACCGAGAGGGCGGTGGAGTTTCGAGAGCTCGCAATCAAGAGGTTGGCGGAGGCATTCAAGGGTGAACTGAAGGGTAAACACTGGGAAACGAACGTAGATGTTGAACCGAAGATTGCTGGTACGAAGGCGGAGACGGTGACTCAGGAGACAGCTGCTGCTGGGAAAGTGGGGTATGGAGGAAATTAGATTACGAAATGATTTGTTCGAGGATCATTGGGGAAGAAATGTGGAGCGAAAGTTATGTATTTGTTTGAACGCTGATGTTACATTACAAATGAATCGTGCAATATAACTTACAAAGACGGGCGAATTCATGATCCCCGGACACTCAATCCTTTGATTTTTCCTCCTTTTCACCTTTCTCTTCTTCCTCCTCACTCCCTGAGTCCTCAGTCTTCTGCCTCTTCCTGTCTTTCTTCTCATTCTCGCTTTTTTCTTCCTCATCCACTTCCTCCGCCTTCCTCTTCTCCACTCTCTTCTTCTCCTTCAGCCCCTCCTTTT